GGGGGGAGGGGGCGGAGGGGGCTTCTCTGTATATGGGGATTGAGGATGAGTGGAAGGCGTGGTTTTTCTCATTCGGACTGCTGTTGTTTTTGTTTCGGGTGGGGATCGGTATTTTTTTTAAATTGTACTCTAAATGTATCATTTGGAATTTTCAATGGTACTATGGTACTTTTATTATCGCTTTTTAATACTCCGGGAGAAAAAAGTACAAATAACGACTTTCAGTCGAGACGAATTCCTCATCATCATTCAGCCCTTTATTAATAAAAGTAGGCTTGGTGGCTCGTGGGAAGGTTACATTCACATAATCACGAACTCTGATTTAAATGAACGTTCTTCGCGGCCGTCTAAAAGCGCTCATGCCCTCGTGCCTAGACGGCCGCATGACTAGAAGACCCACATTTGTTGGACGGTCCACGGACAGTGCTCTCGGGCCAATACGGCGTACGCACTGTTCCCGGTCAGATTCACCAGGCGGTTCTTCGTGAGAGCATGCCAAAAATGTATGGCGTGGCTCCCGTTGATCATCGCGGATACGTCGGCGTAGCCGCCCTCTTTGATCAGGGTCTCGTACTTCTTCCAACCGACTGGGTAAAAATAGCGACTCGAGTAGGCGACCAGATCCCGACATTCGACCTCGTCTGCGTCTTCGACCTCGTCTTCGTCGTCCGAGCACCAATCCTGCAGAAAGACTTTGCTCATGATATCTGGAGCGGCGCCGGGGAGAAGGGCAGGGTTGTAGGCCCGACGCATCTCGTTCATGACCCTCGAGAGGAAGTCGTGATTCCGCTCGAATCTCATCAGCGCTCCATTCACCCGCCGCGGAGTTGGAAGTCCCACAAAATGCGAGGATAGGTTGCGAAAACTCCTCAGAACCACGAAATCCAGGTCCATATAAAAACCACCGTGCTTCCACACGTACACGACCCGAAGACCATCGCTCAAATGGACTGTAATGCGAACTCTGCTGGAGCTTATCGCTTCTGTACCAGCCCTCCAGCGGCGTCCCCTCGAACACCTGCTCCGCGTCCAGCGAGTGGAAGTGGATGTTGGACTCCGGGAAGGGATTCCGAGGAGGATCTCGGAGGAAGTGCACGTGGATGTCCAGATCGGGATTGTGCTTGGATGTGGATTCGATGGCACACGCCTCTCGACCTCGGAGTCGGGGCTCCGGAGACGTCACGAAAAACGTCACCGTGTCGCGATATTTCCCGGATTCGACGTCGCGAACGACCTGACCTCGAAGCATCGACTCGGACGATGTGCCGAGAAACGCCTCGCCTCCTGTCCATCGAGACACGGCCGGGATTTTATACCAGAGGCTGAACGTGACGAGCAAGAGACCACCGATGCTCAGAACGGACAATATCATCGATCGAACGCAACACACAAAACTGCAATTTCGGAAGCCCTCCATAGATCCACTCCCTGCGAATTTCGTCTCAGCTGTCTGCGATTTTCGACCGCTTCGAAGCAACTTAACGAGTCTCCTGGCGACTCTCAACGCGACCTTATCTTAAGATAAGATAAGTCGAAAGGGTGCATTTCAGCCTCCTTGCCGACACGAATTGCGGTTTCCCAGAGGAATTGGACGCGGGAAAGCACACACGTCGGCGATGAGAGCCAAGTGAGGCCTTCCGTTCACTCACCCTTCGAAGCTCTCGCAGATGTGATAAAATACCGGAAGCGTCAATAACAGAGTCACAGGAGGGAAACGAGGCATGGACTTCATTCCTTTTGACTTCATTTCTTCTCGTGGATAAATCGTTTCTCTGGGAAGTACTTTTTCAGCGTCAAGTCCCGAATGAATCTGAGGGAAAACCGAGCAAGTACCGAAAGTACTCTTACGTCATCATTAACGTCTGCGAGCTCGCGATTCTCACGACTTGACCCCATTTCGGAATGGCACACCTTCACCGACGCTGGAACCGCTTTCCCTTTCTCCAAATTTTTCCTCTTTTGGGGGGATTTGGCTCTTGAAATTTGACACAGACGCTAAATAAACTACTTCAGTCACTCCCGGAATATATAGCGCCAAAAGTACACTTTATTTTTGAGCGGATTTCTCGATGGTCTCCTTCGATTTCCAGCTGATAATGAAACGATAGTGACGCAGATTTACGGAGTCACTCGGATATAATGGAACATTTGCATAATATTTCACAAAAGACATCAGTGAATGCAAAGCGAACAGTACCAGCACTTCCTCTTTAGCTCCTTTATTCCTCGATATACAGAGTTCGCTTTTTTGTGCAGACAAAGGCAGTGTCTTGCATGCATGAAAGTATATGAGCATGTGAGCAAATTTTCCGGCTGATTGGAATTATCTCAGCCAAACTGAGGACTTGATCTCACGATGGCGAAAAAGTCCATTAACGTCATGCGATTGACGGGGTGCAACAGCGGCATGAATAAGCACTCTTCCCAATGAGAAAGTCCTCTAAAATGGCTGTGCCTTTTGCTCTTTTTTTTTCATTTTGTGTTCATAATTGTCCTACACTTTTGTGGCTATATACAAGCGATACGTGCATTTTTTTCACGACGAAATTAAGTATCATACCTAACATGATGACATCATTTTGCAAAGTTCTGATATCCCCCAACGTTAACACGTGTCTTCGCTGACTAGCTAGAGAATAAAATGAGAAAAAAAAGGATACGGATTGACAACCACTACTCGGGAAAGCAATACATTGCATTGGTGCAGATAAACCATTATAACTTCGTAGCCCGCAAGCACGCTCGTCGTTTCTTTTCCCCGCTTCACTTTAGGATGGCAGTGCCCTCCGCCACATTCTCATCCGAATGTAATGATCGAGGAATTCGTAGAGGGAGATGAGGGAGACTCCGAGGAACATCCCCACGCATCCGCCCACCTCTCCGACCATCTGCGAGATGTCGTAAGCCTCCTTCTCCGTCAGGACTTCCACTTTCTTCGAGGGGAAATACATGTAGACCAAGGCGGTGAGGTAAGGACTTGGGTCTGCGACAGGCGGAATGACCTGAAAGTCGTATTCCACCTGGAGACACGGTTGCGGGCAGGAACAATTCAACATCTGGTAATAGCGGAGTTTGGTGTAGTAGTCGTAGTTTGAGAGAGCTGCTACTGTCTCCAAAAAGGTTTCACATTGAGGGTTCTCAGACTTGTTCATCCAGGAGAGACTACATAGTTTTTCTTCGGGGAATTTCTCTTCTATGGCATGGAAAATGCATTCGTCCAAACACTACAGACAGAAAGAGAGAGAGAGAGAGGGAGAGAGAAATGGAGAAAGAGAGGGAAACAGAGATGCAATGGTTTTTAATTAGAGATTTTTAACTACA